CAACTTTCTTACATTATGATTGTTTCTATAGTTCTCTTAGTTTTCTTTTTACTCATATAGTCCCAAAAGAGTCCTAACTAAAACATTTGTTCATTCAACAAACTTTTTGACTATGAAATCCAGGCACTTGGTGGAGAGAGGTTACCACGAAAACTAATGATCTCATATTGAGATGTGATGGTACATGCCTGTAATCCCAGCACTCAGGAGGTTGAGACATGAGAATTGTGAGTTTAAGGCCAACCTAGACTATATAGTGAGTTCCAGATCCTACTGGTATTGCCATAGCAAGACTCTGTCTCAGACACAAACACACAGATAACAAAAAATACTTTACAAATAAATAAATAAATAATATGATCAGTTGTGGGAAGTGCTAAAGCAGGGAAGAATGGTGCCAGGAGAGAGAACAGGAATTATTTTATTCCTAAGTGAGTTTAGGTGCGTAAAACATCTGGCCCAGGACTTGCCTCCCAATAGGCTCACTGTATCTTTCTCATTCAGCCCCGCTAAATAATAGCCCTGGTAAAATACCTTCCCAGTTGAGGCCAAAAGAGGACCAAATTATTCTAATCAGCTGCTAACTCACTCCCCGCCTTCAGTTTCTGCTGCCAGAATGTTATTCCCAAAATATCATTTGATTAATGTTGCCAGCATGCCAAAGAATGTGCCATTCTTCCTGTAAGCCAACCTCAGACCTCAGAAGTGGGGATAAATAGGATCTGGGGCCACCTGCATCCTCCGACACAGAAGCCTGCAGGTGGGTATCAGAGAGGCAGCTCCCACACCCCACATTTCCAGCAAGCTCAGAAAGAGTCTGGCAGTGCCGTGACAATGGGTACAGATGCTTGGTTTAGTGTTGGTAGATGGGAGAAGCGAGGGTGGGAAGAGGAGGACTGAGGGAAGCCCATTGGCCATCAACACTAGGAAGAGGGCGTTGACCATTCCAAGCAAACTTCTATAGACATGGCTGCTTTTCTAGAGCTTGCTGGCTACTGAGAAAGATGAGCTGTCTCCTCCATTCCACCTAAAGCACCAAAGGATTGGTGGGCATCGGAGACGCTGTCTTGGGAGAGTTCTCCCGAATGTCACTCTACCCTCTATTCCTTCTCTTTCACCGTCCAAGGTGAAGGAACTGTTGGTATTTAACTGCGGAGAGACAAAATAACAATCAATTGCACAAGCTATGCATCTGGCTTCAATGGGACCTGTGGCTGCCAGGAAAGGGGCTTATTCCTGGAAAGGTAATTACGCCTTCGTTTGTGAATTATGCCGTCCCGGGTGAAAGCAAAGCACACCTTATGAAAAAGTCATAACTATTCATAAGAACCAAATCCACTCCAAGCCCCTGAAGGAGTAGTGAGTTTGATGAAAAATATTCCCCTCTCCAGGGAAAGCCTGGGGCTCATTAAATGTCACTTTAGACTGCCCCAGGATCTACAGAGTGCCTGATCAAATACACTTGAAAACAAACTTCCTTGACTGCCAGCATCTTTACTCCCTCCATTTAAAAAATACAATTTAAATGTGATTTTCAGAGGAAGTTCTGCATGCGGGGCAGAATTAATTAAAGCAGCATTTTGCACCCCACAGTGACCTGCTAACCTGAGTCATCCAGTATGCATTGGGTACCTCTTGCCCCGACTGTAGGAGCCCGTTTCCCCCTTGTCACTGGTCTGAGTTCTGGCAAGCCCAGGGGTCCCTGGCTTGTAATTACTGGATTTGGATTCTCACCACACAGTCTGAGGCTCTCTCATCCCTGACATGGCATCCCTTCCTCAGGGGAACATAGGGAGAAGATGAGCCCAGTCAGAGAGTCTCAAAGACTTTCAGCTTAGTGATATTTTTTTTTTTTAAAATTGGTTAGAAAGAAATCAACATTTTTCTGTCCTTGAAACCCTGAGGGCCTGATAGATGTTAGCAAAAGACAATAAATACTACTCAGAATAAACCTGTATCTTTAGATGATGGATTCCCAACACCATTCAAAGATTGACGCCATATAACATTCAGGGTTAAGGAAATCAGCTACCCAACACATCTTCAGGAACAATTTGGATTCCTACAGCACTGGAAGTCTTACTACCCAGAACTCACTCCCCCTGTCAGTAAGAGTGCCCATTCGCTTCCCCTGCTGGACTCAAACCGGGAGGAATGAGTCACTTGTGCTGTTCTGCCTGGGATTCAGAATGAGTCATGTGGATGACAACTTCCAAGAATTTAGCATAAGACACTCTGGAAATACAGGGGAAGGATTCACAACTCTTCCATGAAAAGTTAGGGAATGCTTCCTGAATAAAGTAGTCCAAAATTTGAGTCATAAGAGCCAACTCAGTTCAAAACATAGTCTCATGGGACTGGAGAGATGGCTTAACAGTTGAGAGCGTTTGTTCTAGAAGAGGACCTTTGTTCAGTCCCAGTACCCACATGGTGGCTCTTAGCCATCTGTAACTCTCATTCTAGAGAGCTAATGTCCTCTTTTAGGTTTCCACAGACTGTGTGCATTCAGACAAGCAGTCACACATTCTTTCTTTGTTACTGTTCTGTTGTGGAGAAGAGACACTATGACCAAGGCAACTCATAAAAAGAAAGAATTTAACTGGCGGCTAAATGTAGGACCAGAGGCTTAGACCAGTATCATCATGGCAGGAGCAGGACAGAACACAGGCAGACATGGTGCTGGAGAAGCAGATGAGAGTTCTACAACCTGATCTTTAGGCTGCAGGGAGGACAGCCTGGGCCTGGTAAGACTGTCGAAACTTCAAAGTCCCAAATCCGGTGACACACTTCTTCCAATAAGGCCACACCTCCTAACCTTCTAATCCTTTCAAATAGTGCCACTCCCTAAAGTAAGCATTCAAATATAGGAGCATATGGGGATCGTTCTTACTCAAACCACCACCTATATACACATAAATAAAAATAAATAATTTTCTTAAAGGGATCAAACTGAAGACATCACAGGAAGGCGTAAGTGAAGACAAGAGACAGAGAGCGTGAATTGTAATGAGCCATGTACAGACCAGCCAGTGGTGCATTGCCTTGCGGGGAAGGGGAAACTACTTTGTTCAGATACTGAGAGACAGCAGGAAAGATTTTAAGATTATAATTATATCATAAAGCTGAAGCCCGGCATAGGAAATGTGATGACAGTAAGAATAATCAACAAATATGGTTTCAGATTATAAATGCTGTAAAGAAATGTAAACACTGAGTGAGTTCAATGCAATCAGCAAGAATCTATGAAACTGACAGCAAGTACCGGGGCCTAAGATTCCTCCCTGAAAGATCCCAGGCATCTGTAGAGGCTCGGGATCCTGGGAAGGCATCACACCAGCCCAGAAAGTGCTCTTCTGTAAGGATACCAGCCATACTGGAAGGACTATTTTGATTTGATGTTGGTTGAGAATATTCAACCTTCAAATAAGGCTGCATTTCTAAACATTGTGGGTTAGGATTCCAACATATTGGTGGGAGCCCTGGGGGATGGACAACAAACTCTATTCCAACATGTTGCTATCCTGCCAAACCTTCTCCTGAGCCTATCTGTGCACTTCCCTATAAAACCTCATTATACCAAAGAACCCTGTGCCATTGATGTCTAGCTGCTCTTGATGTGTGGTCACATTTTCCTCACCCTCTCTCATACCCCAGGATCTCCCTGGTCTGTCTTCAGGAAGAAACCCCTCAGGTCAGTTTATCCAGAATCCCTCCTTATACCAGATGCTTCCCTTACTAATTTTCTATCATTGATTCCCTGCCCCATCCCCTCGATGACAGTGTATTGTCTTTGCAGAGCCAATCCCCTTTTACCTCCTACTGCAGACTATCATTGCAACAGCCTTCCTATCTATCAACAGGGGGGGGGGGCGCTAAAGGAGGTGGTGGTCACCTGTAACATAGGCGTTGCAGCCCACAATACGTATTTTGTCTCGTGGTTATAGTTTCTTTAACCCCTTTCTGAGTGCAGTGATATAGTGGGGTACCTTAAATAGGAAGTGTTCCCCCATAGGCTCTGTTTGAATGCTTAGTCTCTAGCTAGAACACTACCTAGAGTGGAAACTTAAGGAACCGAAGCTTACTTGGAAAATGCAGGTCACTCACAGTATGTTTTTGGAGGCAATCCTGGACCCCCAGTCACCTCCTCTCACTCTGCTTCCCATCCTCCTTGAAGTTGGTAGCCCCAATCAAGGCTCCCCACCATGATGCTCTCCACACCATGTTGCTCTGTGTCACCACAGGCTCAGAATCACCATAGCCGAAGACTGGCGACAAGCATGCAAATCCATGAATCAGAGCAGATAATTCCACCAGTTCAACTGTTTTCTTGGGCCTTTGCACGACATCAGACAAGTTGACTAACACAGTGTTTGCTTTTGACTGCATGGCATAAAGCTATCAAAACTCAGACAACATGAGGGAAAATGGAGAAGAAGCCACATGTTGAATAATTGGGAACTAATTATGGACATTTGTGCTTTCCAAGGTAAATGAACTGAGTTATTAAATGTGTCATCATTTTCTTCAGACTTAGTTTGACAGGAATTGAGGCAAAGGTCAGAAGCTCTGTCCTCCTGTCAGAACTGATCACAAAGTGTGTCAAGCTGGAGACGGAAAGCTCACATCTGCAGAGCGCCCACCTGAGTGGCCCCTTCAAACATATCCATTCCCTTGCCCTAGCTGCCATTACTCACAGTAAATGCCTCATAGATTCTAGCCAGCATGTGATCCTCACCTGAAAGTCCACAGAACTCATGCAGTTCCTTATGAGCATTGTACTTCCCTAGAGAACAGACTGCATTGTTGAATTAGGAGCGGTGAGGCTGCGTCCCCGGCACCTGGCCGCCCGCATGGCTAGCTTATGCCCAGAAATAATTACACGGAAACTGTATTCTTTCAAACACTGCCTGGCCCGGCTAGTTCCAGTTTCTTATTGGCTAGCTCTTACATATTGTTCTAACCCATTTCTAATATTCTGTGTAGCCCATGAGCTGGCTTACCAGGGAGGATCTTAACCTGCGTCTGTCTGGAGTGGAAGAATCATAGCGACTCTTCACTCAGCTTCTTTTTCCCAGCATTCTCTTCTGTTTACTCCACCTACCTAATTTTCTGTCCTATGAGGGCCGAGGCAGTTTCTTTATTATCAACCAATGAAAGCAACAGATAAGATACAAGACCCACCTCCATCACTGCATTCCATGGAGAAGTCTGGGTCTTTGGAACTATTTGGTGACAGTGATGAAGATCTTAAAAATGGGGTCAGGAGTTTATACACTCTGGAGTTTTGTTGAGAACTGTCAGGGACCAGCCTTGACAAAAATACCACTTGACAGAGTAGGGATGTGGGAACTTAGAAATATTAGTAAAGAATACAAAGACATGTGTGAAAATAATAAAACAGAAAAACATAAAATAGCTTAAAGATTAAAGGTGGCAAATTTATATCAGCAACCTAATGGATTCATGGGAAGAAAGCAAGAACCCCAGCTCCTCTTCTTTCTCCTTTAAAATCACCTGACACTATTTGGGGCAGGGAAGTTCAGCCCTTTGGGCTCCCTGAGGCCAGGGCGGTTCAAGGGGCTCTCGCCAGGCTTTGCAAGCCACTGAGAACTCCTGCCACTCCTTGAAGGGCTTCTCACTGGGACCTGGGACTGCTTGGACATGGTACTCTACAGGTGAGGACATTGTGCTCCTCACCCTGTGGGAAGGAGCCTTGTGACTGACAACCTGCATGGCCTACTGCTGCCTGGGGGAACCAGCCCCCAACAGCACAGGGCTCAAAAGGAAGTCCATACTAGACTTTTTTATCTGAGGGGGTTAAGGAAAGAGACAGTCACACACTCTCTTGATGACTTCCTTCTCTATTCCTCTGTATTCTTTCTACTGTATACTTTTTTCTATAGTTTATATACCTCAACAATGTTTTTCAAGCAATATACTAATTATAATGTGGTTACATTCTGTTTTTCAAGTGACTGATTACAATGAATTCAAGTAAAAAAAAAAAAAAACAGGGTGTTTTCCATGTCCCTTACATGATTAAACACTTTACATATTATAGGTGAAAAACAAATTGCCCCGAAAACCCACGTACATTCATACCCAAGCAACGTGTTACAGATTAACTATGTAGGCAAACAAGATATTCTTTTCAGCCGGGCGGTGGTGGCGCACACCTTTAATCTCAGCACTCGGGAGGCAGAGGCAGGCGGATCTCTGTGAGTTCGAGACCAGCCTGGTCTACAGAGCTAGTTCCAGGACAGGCTCCAAAACCACAGAGAAACCCTGTCTCAAAAAAACAAAAAAAAAAAAAAAAAAAAAAAAAAAAAAGATATTCTTTTCAGTCAGGTCTTTTACCAGCAGGCTGTGTTTTGCAATTACAAACGTCATTTCAGGAAGCATGTGAGAACTTTCAGATGGATTATTCTGCCTGGTCCTGCACGGACAGGATATTGAACAAAGAAGAACGTTGTTTGGAAGGCTATGGAAAGAGAATATTAACCAGGAATATGCCCCAGTTTGGACATGTTTACTCACCCCTCCAGTTTCTAAGTTTTCATATGGGCTGACACCCTTTTCTATCTGGGCAGCTAGCTGTTTTTCTTTTACTTTTTAACGTGTGCACATGTTATATGTTTAAGGGAGACATGCATGTGCAGGTCCACACACATCTGTGTGTCGGGGCTGGAAGAACTTCAGGCATCGGCCTACAGCACAGCACTCAGCTTTAAGACAGGATCTCTTTGGCCTGAAGTTCACCAATTAAGCTCTGAGGGCCAGCGGAGCTGGAATTGCAAGCAAGTGCTGCCATACCTAGAGTTCTTTGTTTTTAATTTTACTAATTCTCTCTGGATTTCATACCATGTATGCTGATTCCACCCATCTTCCCATCCCCCACATCCACCCTCCACCCTTACAACCTCCCCCCAAAACAAAACATAATTTAAAAGAAAAACCAAAAGCCAAACAAAGCAAACAAAACAATTTAAAACAAACAAAAACAAAGGAGAAGAATCTTGGCGTGGACATTGTAGTGTGGCCCGTTGAGACACAGTTTACCCGTTAGTGCGTTCATGTTCACTTACAAATCTCCATTGCCATGAGTCATTGGTCTGGCTTGAGGCCTCTGGTTTGTGCCACACCATCGATAATGGAGGTGTAGCCCCCCCTTCACTGGGGCCCCCTTGGATATCCTGCTGTTGTCCTGTGTCATGGAGATCCTGCAGCTTTGGATCTGTAGGTTCATCCCCTTCACAGGCTCCAACAGTTCATAGATGCGGTGAATGTTGTGATGGACCAACTCATAGCCCTGGGTTTGGGCCTGGGTGGTTGCTAGGTCGGTCAACCCATCGGCTTTTCCTCATCATCACTACCCAGGCAAGCTTTCCAGTACTGCCATGGCCAGTTCACCCAATGCAGCCTGCAGCAAGGAGCAGGGCCAGCTCTCCTGCTCTCTGATCCTCAGGTCCTGCTCATCCACACTCACACCACCAACTCCACCGTCTTTCCCAGGCAAGGTACATCTCTCTCTCTCTCTCTCTCTCTCTCTCTCTCTCTCTCTCTCTCTCTCGATAACTGTAGGAATCACGCCCAGATTTCTTATGTGGGCACCGAGGATCAAACTCAGGTCATCAGTTTTGACCGACAAATACGTGAATTCGTATATAAGAATATGAAAAGAAAAATACCCAATAAATTGCACTCAATTACCCATAGAAGAAGTCAGCCAATTGCTACCATCTTGGGATTCTGGGATGGAAAGTTGGGGCCACTAAAGGAATCACTGCTCACTTCAATTTATTAAGGGAACATAATGCTAACTTAATACCTCATGTTCACTTTATTTTTTAAAAATATTTGTTTATTTATTATGTATACAATATTTTGTCTATGTGTATGTCTGCAGGCCAGAAGAGGGCACCAGACCTCATTACAGAGGGTTGTGAGCCACCATGTGGTTCCCGGGAATTGAACTCAGGACCTTTGGAAGAGCAGCCAATGCTTTTAACCACTAGGCCATCTCTCCAGCCCTCATGTTCACTTTATTATATCCCACAACTAATTACACAAAACAGCATTTTGATTTCACCATTAATTCTGTGAAATTCAGGAAATCTCTCTTTAGATGTCATAAGCCAAGACAGTGAAATACTGTCACTTCCCTTCTGTTAAGGAACAGGATATTTTCCAATCCATTCTTGCTTCAGTCTCCCAAGGAGAACTCAAAACTTGCCAGATTCAAATATTGTTAGAACTGAAACAATGAGAAACCCCAAGGCAGGCATTTCATAGTTCCCCCGGGGAAGTTCACCTTCAGTAAGGCTATTTAAAGCTAAAGAGAAAAAAACCAAGTCCAAAAATAGCACGAGGACGTGAAGCCATCTACTTTCTGTAACTCGGTTGGTGACAGATTCACTGCCTCTCTGGCCAGTTCTACCACAGCTTGACCCTTCTCCAGTGGGGCCTGGTGATTAGTAAAACCCTAACTGTGTTTCCTCCCACCCTCACAGCTGGCAGGACCAGTGATAGCTCCCACAAAGGGACAATGGACCGGGTTCTAAGGGCAGAAAGGAAGTAAGATGTTGTTGTTGGGCCCTGCTTTCTTCCTGCACAGTGGGACAACAGTCAGTCCAGCCCACTGACCGTTCCCAGGGTGCACCGTGATGGTGACTCAGCTCGTAACTGAGAAGTCATCCTGATGCCCTAATCTTTGATCCAAGCTTTTCCCATCTGCCTCGTAGACCCTGGGCTTGTTCAGTTCATGAGCCAATGAGCTGGGTTCCCCTTCCCACTGATGAAAGGTTGATGTAAGAGCTCAGGAACTCAAAATACGTTTGAGGTCATGGAAAGTTATGGCTTTCCAGGGTAGTCCTTTAGTTCTTTCCCATCTTAACTAGGAGCTAAGGCTACCCTGATGGTGTCTGGCTCAAGGGCTGTGATAGAATCTAATCAAATGGGGACGTGCTGGAGAGGAGAGAGGAGTAATGGGCAATGAGATTAGCATTGATTTACAAACTGATTCTTATGTCATTTAAAAATAATTTAGTAACCCCAAAAAGATAGAGTGAAATTATCTGGCTCCCTAAATTATCGAAAGTTGTTTATTGTTTCTCCCATTAAGGTTGGCTCTTTGGAAGAACTGAGATGAGGGGGTGAGGACAGCATCACACAGCAGATGGCTTTGAACTCGTCAACCGTGAGTATCCAAAGCCTCCCGGGACTGGCCAGGGTGACGCTGCCAGGTGCACATTGATTACGCAATGTGCCGACAGTGCCTTGCAAGAAATGTGCCAAATTCTTGTGCCTCTCTGATGTAGTTGGTTTTATTACTCTTTGGGGGTCCACCACCAGCTCCCAAATAAATACATTGAGACTTTTTCTTACTTATGAATGTCTGACCTTAGCTTGGCTTGTTTCTAGCCAGGTTTCTAACCTAAATTATCCTGTTTCTCTTTCACTACATTTTGCCTCTAGGCTTTTTACCATTTTTTGTTCTATATGTCTTTCTTTCCTTCTTACTCCATGGCCGGTTGTGTGGATGGGTGGCTGGCCCCTGGGCATCCTCCTCACCACCTTTTCTCACTTCTCCATCCTTTCCTAGATTTCTCCTCCTACTTATTCTCTCTGTCCACTAGCCCCACATATTTCTCTCTCCTGCCTCTCTATTGGCTGGCTGTTCAGTTCTTTTTTAGACCAATCAGGTGTTTTAGACAGGCAGAGTAACACAGCTTCACAGAGTTAAACAAATGCAACATAGAAGAATGCAACACATCTTTGCATCCTTAAACAAATGTTCTACAATATAATCAAATGTAACACATCTTAAACTAATATCCCATAAAACTTTGCTGTAGAGTTTACTTAAGATTTCATAGGGGAAGAAGCAGCAAGAACGACTCCCGGCCAGACCCAAGCAAGCCACACACCTGCTGCATCCCCATAAAGGCTGAAGGGAATACTAAAGGAGATAAAGCCAAGGTGAAGGACGAGCCACAGAGAAGATCTGAAAAGCCAGAGCCCA